ACTTTCATGGTAACTGCTCCGGTGAGCTACTTTCGCTGGTTCCCAGACTTCATGAATTTAAGCGCTTAACTAGGCTGGCATCTCGCTCTCACCCTTTCACTGTCGAAATTGTTAAATGTAGCCGTCTCTTCTACTCCAATAGCTTCATATCTCGCACTTCTCGCCTGTGGAACTCCCTCCTCTTTTCCTGTTTCCCTGATAGCTATAATCTCCAACTATTCAAATGTAATGTCAATCGACGTCTCCAGATGCCCTGATCTATCCCCTATCCTTCTCTTCATCCTTTCTTCTATCACTCCTATTTGCTCTCGCTCCAACTCTCTGTAACCCCTTGCGTGCTAGTGGCTTCCCGCCTTGTTTGGGGAGAAACGCTTAAAAAATATATATATATATATATATATATATATATATATATGACCAAGCAAAGCTGAATAGTGCCTTTAAACACAGATTTTTCTCTGACACTTGAAATAGACATATCTACACAATTTCATAACCTAATGTAAACAAAGCAAATATCTAAAGAAAGGGATGGATTTTTTTATTTATTAATCCGACAGATTTTTATTATTTAAATGTTATTTTTAGTGGATATTTGTATTTCAGTAGATGCTCAGTTTATTTATTAAATAGTATATTTATTTAATAATTAAACGGGGCGTCTGCTCAAATACAAGTATCCACTACAGATGACGTTTAAGACAGTAAAGAAATTAAGACACAAGGGTTTAAAGGCCGTGGAACAATTAGGAACAGAAACATTAATGATGAGTGGGAAAAGCAAAGAGTAATAAGGATGACAGTAAATAGCGATTGACATTGCATTTAATTTTTGTATATTAAAATTGGCTGGAAAGCATGGAGCTGGAAGGGAGTTCCACGAGCGAAAAGTGCAAGATAAGAAACTGTTAGCATAGAACTTACGGCTGTGTCTAGCTGGCTCAACTGTAAATTGATGTGATCTTGACACCAATCGAGTACTGCGCTTAAATTCATAAAGTCTAGCTACCATAGCGAAGAGATCATCCGAACAATTAACATGAATGTATTTATAGAAAAAGCACAGCGGGAGCTACATTACGGAGGTGAGAAAGTGACTGAAGCCGAACTGCCAGACCCGAACCAATAATATTGCTTATTCTTCTTTGGATTTTATCAAGGAGCTCAAGGTAAATAGCAGGGACACTGGACCATATATGGCAACAATATTCAAAGCATGGTTAAATGGTAGACTTATAGATATGTAAGATAGATTTTGAATTCAGTTTTTCTCTTTCTAGACTGGTTGCCACCTCAAGGCAATATAGCTTGATCTGCCCTGCTATTTAACCCATAGCTGTAGGATTCACGCCTTTTTTCCAGGGGCATTAAAGTGAAGAGAATTAAACAATCGAGCGGGATTTGAACTCGGCACGCCGAATTTATTTTCAGCGCTGATACACGCCTCTGGGGCTAGATTTACATACCCTCAAAATATGTTCTTGGGACTAACGCATTAGTTGATGTCATTAATAATCGTTTCGTCTGCAAGGAACAGCCCACGCTTTTCTTTTCTGCAAGTAGATAAATTTATTTCCAGTTTCACTCTCCTTTTTTCCTTATGTATTTGTATTTGAACACTTACACATACATTTATTTATATTTATCCATTTGAGTGTAATACAGACATACATACACACACACACACACACATATATATATATATATATATAACAACACATTTTCAAGAAATACATTTTGTCTATTTCCTTGTGTATTTACGAACCGTACTCTCTGTAGAGTTAGAGACGAGAATGCTTAGCGAAGCGTTTTTGTTGAGCAGGCCTTACAGTGTGTAATATGTTGCCTTGTTTCTTTACCAATCAAAATCATTCTTGTCCTAGTTTAGCCATTGCGAACAAACGTTTCGCAAACAACTTTTATTGCATCGTTGAAAAATTTGCCCAAAACAGAATTTCCGCTTAATGATGATAAACGCCTAGCGCTATAGAGTTAAATGGCTTCGGTTAAGATTTCGGGTTTCATATTGCAAACTGTAAACCTTTTGTGGCTTAGTATTTGATCGTCTGGCGTTTTCTATTTTATTTTATTTATTGCACAAGAAAGGAGCTTTCTTTTCTGCTCAGTTAAAATTTAAATTGTATATACTGATAAATTATGTAATACATCAGTTAATTATTTTCCACCAAAATGAAAATAAGTATTGGAATGTAATGAATGAGAAAACTCTTTCAATGTCGTTACCGATTAGTTGAATCTAATGCGCATGTGCATGTAACGCAAAACAAATGGCGGATGCAATTACAAATTAAACCAATTTGGATTGTATTTTTGATGTACGCCAACACACCAGTCTAACAATGACGTCAATAATATTGCTGAAAATACGCCCTGATGTCTTTTTTTTAAATGGCCTTCAGGATGTAGGCGATCATAGCTCTCCACAGGGTTCTTTATCTGTGAATTACCATGACTTCTTTGGAAACGTAAATGCCTTCTCCACAGTTTGAAATTCAGAGTTTTCCTTCTCTTAGACTGTTTGCCACCTACGACTACGACTCCAGAGCTCAGATTACCCTGCTATTAAACTCATAACAGCAGGAAGTGATGGATTCATGCCTTTCCCAAAGTACGCAAGTATGAAACAGTTTTTTTTTTTTGTTTTTTTTTTTACAATGGTTAAATGATATTAATATTTTAGTACGTCAAATTTTGTATTTCGCAGAATACAGTCTTTCCAGTGCGCTTTATAGAAGGGTCGTTGGTATTGTTTTATAACTGGGGTCATCGGGGTCTGAATCTTTCAATATCAGGCCTAGTTGATCCGTGGATGTGTGGGTGGTGTAACGGATATGCTGCTCGGAATGAGAAGTCAAATACCGAGTTCGAATTCTAGTCGCATTCGTTACATTTACTTATGCGCAAATACCCTTTGGAAAGGTGAATCCATCTCCTCCTTACAGCTACGGGTTAAATAGTAGAACTTGCCTGGAAAAATCATTGTTATTCTAAAAAAAAAAAATGTTATTGCAATATTCACTCGCAAAAAAAATCTTACAGTCAATAAGTTCCGGCTTTAAATAACGTAAAAAAAAAAAAAAAACACAAAAAATCAATCAATCAGTCCCTGGCTGACCCACTCCAGGATGAGCGGTTTCTGATAGACCTCCCTACCACTGTAAGCCACCTCCATACTCCTCTATTACAATTTTAGTAGTTTGGTTAGTTTTGAATTTTATATTTTAGTAACCTCGTCACCAGTCCCTGGTTTTCAGACATTGGTCAACCGCCTTCTGTTTAATTCTAGGTTGATAAACCGTAAAAAAAATAATCAATCTATTTAACTCTAATTAAGCTATTTCCTCTATTTACGTTGTTCGGACTGTTGTCCTCATCTTTGTTGTCATATTCATAACATTTCGGCCATTGTACGCTCCGGCCTTCTTCAGGTGATATACGTTGGAATTTTGAATCGAACCCTTTATTTAGTATATCACTTGATGAAGGCCCGAGCGTACAACGGCCGAAACGTCATGAATATGACAACAGTCCGAGAAGTGTAAATAGTTACAATACAGAAATATAGAATCTAATTAAGCTGTCAGTTTGATTTGCCTATCTTTTTTGTGCAGAAGAAACTGATCAAGTCTGTGGTAAATTCTTTTTCTTTTTCCAAATATTTCTGATTTTATTAATTTTCCGTTTTTCTTGTCAGAACCGACAGGGAAAAAATGACTTTCGAAACAAGAATATTATATTTTTCTTGTTCTTGAATTCCTCCTGTTTATTCGGAACCAATTTGTCGTATTTTCGGCTGCTTCTATAATTCTTTGGCTTGATCTTCTCCTGACACCAATCATTCCGTTAGAACATTGCATCAGGATCTTGTGACAAAATCCCTACAGCCCTATTCAACATTTGGCTGTGCAACTTTGGTTTATGTAAAGTTCTACAAATCCCTTCTAATTTTATCTTTTCGTTTCATTTGCTGCTTTTGCAATTTTTTTCTAAGTTAGTCAATTCCCTCGCAATGTTGTTTGTTGTCATTTGTTCCAAGAGTTTTAATTGCTGTTCAAGATATAATCTCAGCTGCAATAGATGATAGATTCAGTTTCTCATTTGCAACTGCTTTTTTCCTGCCTTAATTTTTCTATTATTAAAATAGCCATGAAATAATTCCATTAAAAAAAAATCTTTAAAAGACTCAAATTATAAATTTATATAAATTGTTCTGGATTGATTCGCTTTCCTTCTTCTGTCGGAGGCTTGGCTTTAAGGTTGTCAAAATATCGCCAAAATACTATTGGCTTTGAATATCTATTTTCACACGTCGATTTCATCCGGGAAGACAAAAATTAGACTGACAAGCTGGCGTACAGGAAAAAAGGGTAACCGATTATGTAATACATCAGTTGATTATTTTTAAACAAAATAAAAGCTGAATATAGAAATGTAATGAACTGCCATGATTCTACTCTGCATGTGCATGGAGAGCGAGTAGAAAAAAATGCAATTTCGACCACTGTACTGCCCTGTCTTCAGATTTTATTTGGTAACTTTTTAGCAATGCTGAATGGGATCCTTTGATCCCCTTATTAATAAATTTTCTGACCGTTCATGTTAAACTTTTAATTCAGTCATTATATTCCGAACAAACTTTTATATATTAAATGCTGGTTTAAAAACCGTTGATTAATTTTTTTTTCTTCTCTTTACTTTTTACTTTATCACATCCCTGACGATGACTCATGAGTGTCGAAAGCTTGGACCTAAAGAAAATATGGCTATGTTTTTATTTTTGCATTTACAAATGCCATATTTGCCAAAAAGTTATTTTAAAAAAAAAATATTACTACATTTAAAACATAAAATGTATCTTTTTTTCATAAAACATGTTTATAAAATACACACACACACACACACACACACACACAAGGTTACTCGGATGCAAACAAAAATGAAAGTAATTTTGCAATTGCATTGTGCCTACATATGAAAAACATTGAAACACCGGTGCTCATACGATCACCGAAGTTAAGCAACATCGAGTCTGGCCAGTATTTAGATGGGTGACCGCTTAGGAATACTAGATGAGGGTGGTGTAATTGATAAGGGTTCAGAATTAGAAATCGGTCGGAGAGCCGAGTTCCAATTCAAGTCGGGTTCTTTATATTCACTTTCGCGCAAATACCCTCGAGGGAAAAGGCATGAATCCAATTCTTATCTCTTCAATTATAGGTTAATTAGTAGGCCTTGTATCAAATCATTATCTCCAAAAACTTTCCAATTTAAAAATACTTCCTGACTTTTAAATAACCTGCAAAAGGTTGATAATCCGTAAAAAAACAAAGCAATCAATCAATATATATGAAAAAATAATTATTGTATTTTCTGAATGTACAGAAAGTAAAATTTATTGAAGCTTGTGTAATATATATATATATATATATATATATATATATATATATATATATATATATATATAATGTCATTTTGCAATGATGAGCGACCACAGAATACCTAAGGTCCTCATATATAGCCAAACGGTGGGCAAAGGACTTTTGGACGGCCGTGGCTCAAGTATAAAGACAAGCTAAATAGTAACCTCTCACTTGACAATGTGCTTCATACTAACTTCGAGCGAGTTACCCTGGATAAAAATACCTGGAAATATTTGTGCTAGACTGGTATCAGGAATTTTGAAATCAGTTGTATTGACCGGCTAAGAGAAGAAAGACAACGGCAAAAAGCGTCGGCAAATGTTCCTGTGGATATGTCCCGAAATCCTCACAATATGTGGACTTGTATGCATGTCACTAGTGGAACTGAAGTGTCACATACAACGAAAACGTAAAAACTGAATGGGGTTGTTGGATCCTCATACGTTTCGACGGGAAGTCCATCATATATATATATATATATATATATATATATATATATATATATATATATGAGCACACTTGTTATTCCATCTGAAGGTGTTGGAGACGCTGTTCATCAGGTCCAGGCGACCCGCTCTTTGTAAACAAAGAGACTGTTTGCTTGGGCTTGCGGCGTTGTCTCTAGCATCTTTGGTGTTATAACTTTTATTATTATATATTTTTTTCTCCCTGTCTATTCATTCACGTCATCCGTGACAGGCTTTCTTCTCATAATTTGTTTCCCCGTTTACAGTTCTGACGAGAGGGGGACGAAACCGGTCGACTTGTGTTTTTGTTTTAATCATGGCCTATAAAAAAAACATTTATTGCCTTTAATGCTATATATATATATATATATATATATATATATATATATATATATATATATATATATATATATATATATATATATTCAGATAATGTAGAAGACAAAATGACTAAAAAGAGACAAAAGGAAAAACTATACTTAGTCGTGTACAGAGCACTCATACGTAATAAATAAATGTACTAGTCATAAATAAATAAATCCAACAATTTTGATCTTAAAAAATTCCACTCTCATCAAAGGAGAAAGTAATTTACGCAGAAGGAAAGTCCTCGAGAGTGCCGTCATTGAATATTATCAAAATCTATGCCTGGTTTTTTTTTTTTTTTTTTTTTTTTTTTCCAATCTCACTTTTCCTGAAAGAATTGCTACTTTCCCAAGCCAACATAAACAACAAATATGTCGAAAAATCAAAAGAAAACTTTTAAATCCATCACTTGAGCTTTTGAAGGTGCACAACACAAACGTCCATTTCATACCATAACAATCTAATCACAATCTAAACAATATTCATTTTTTTTAAATATTGATTACTCGCTCACCTTACTTTTTACCAGATTTTATTTATTTACATTCATGAGAACAGTAAAGATTTGTTTGGATTTAAGCCATGACTTCCATATGCGTGTCAGTTTGCCACCATGTTGAATTCAGAAGTGCCACGGTCCAACTAGTGGACAAGGGATGTAACTCCTTTATATTTTGAATTATCGTCCTTTATAGTGGGGAGTAAGTAAGCCTAACAGACACATAATGAGGAAAGAGAGCTCGTAGAATTTAACTCTCACAGGGCATACTGTAGTCAAGAGGGTCAGAGAGGAAACAGCGATAAACCTACCTAATGTATGGTTGCCAGCGAGAAGGACAGCCCACGAAGCGGGCTATGAATTGGAGACATCAAAATCAATCAAGTATAACTGACGATGGAAGATGTGGCACAGAAAGTCCCATTGAAATAGCGAAAGATGCTTTCTAGAAGCTAAACAAAGTATTATGCAACGGGAAAATTTCGTTAGAAACAAAAAAAAACTGCTCTGCTGCTCTGTAAGAATGCTGGGAATACGATGGACGGAACATTCGCCTACTCGGAAGGTTTAAGAAAAAAATGAAAACAAAAACGACATTTATAATTACTATGAGAAAGAATTGAAATTTCTGGAACACATCATGAGGAAAGAGTTCTTGGAGAATTTGACACTCACAGAACATATTGAAAGCAAAAGGTGCTGAGAGAAATAGTTGTGCAAATTTATGGAAAAACAGAGAGTGGGAAGGATAATAAAAAGACAAACATTGCTAAGAGCCTCAAAGGATAGGAAGTTGTAGAGCAGGCATAGGCAACATTTTTCGAACAGTGGTCCGCATGAGGCACAGTTCATCATAAGGCGGGCCGCGCTACTAAAAAAAAAAAATTCATTACAGATACCGCAGCCATTTTCAAAACAAAAGATGCTTATGCGCATGCGCGCATAAGCATCTGTCTTAGAAATGGAGAAAAATTGTTTTTTTTTTCTTTACAGAAAAGATTCCTTCTATAATTAAAAAACTAAAGTCATCGTATAATATTATCACTGATATCAGTGTGATTAACACACATTGATGTGTGATTTTTTTTTTTTCTTTTTTTTTTTTTGTAATTTATTCATTTGACGATGAAAACATTTTTAAAATAAATATATTTATTCTCTAGAGAAAAATAATTATCATTAACGTTTCCGGTTTCTGAAGCAAAAGGTTTTTACACTGATGCTCTTCCTTAGTGAAAATCGCCAATGGTTTAAAATGATGACAACGTTACCTTCAACAAAATGTTAGAAAATTCAAGAAACATTGTACTTAATCATTGTTTATGTATGTGGCTATGCATGAGAGAGTGTGTGAGTGAACAAGTGGGAACGAAAGGAAACAAGGAACATTTTAATAACGTTGTTTCCTTCGTGAAATTAGGCGTGCCATTCAGAATGACAATCGGTCTGAATGTGGCCCGCGGGCTGCAATTTGCCCATGACTCTTGTAGAGAATCATGATCGTTTGCGTTCCAAAGGAACTCGGCACATAAGAAAAATACAGGTCTGCTTTGTCACTATATAGAGATCGACAATTGATCTATCTCTATGTTGTAGACTCTTCCGGTGACGTAAAAAAGATGTTAGACTGTATATAAAATAATGACTTTATTATATCTTCTAATTTTTTTTCTAAATTGCTGTTTAGAACTTTAAAAAGTGTTAATTCACTCGAGTTTTAACGAATTAGCAAATTACTGAACTGATTGTAAAGTTCTTTATTTTTTTAATGTTTACTTAAATGGCCGTATGTTACTTTAAACTCTGAAACATTTTACGATTAAAGAAAATAAACATTTTTTTTTCTAAGTGCAAATTGCTTGCTGTGAGGATTCTCTTAGCGTCCCTTATCAATTCTTCACACATTTTCGTCGTTCTTGGGGCTTTATATTTATCATATTTTTTGTTAAAGTTCGTTAGTACCGACAAAATAAACCTGTTCTTTCTCACTGCAAGAGTACACTGGCCTACACACTTAATACTAGGCGAAAACCTGAAATTCATGAAAATATGCTCTAGATACAATGTACAGCAAAGAAACAAATCTCCTTTTGCTGACTTCTTTTATAGAGACCCGTCCTTAGTATGACGACAAACTATATCCGGTAGCAAGGCCACCTCTAATCGCGAGGTTTTGATGGAATCACCTCTTAATTGCTGTTGTTCCCAGGTCCACCCTAAACCAGCTATGGGCAAATAGTTAACCCCCAAACTGGAGTCAAAATACCATGAAAGTATGAAAATACAGTTTTATCGTAAAAATACCAGCAATATATTTTATAGTAATAAAAATTACCAGCAATACATTTTTGTAAATTAAATAACTAATTCTCCCAAGAAAATTAAATTTCGTTATTAAATGACCCATGAGGAGTTGATATGCCGTTAAACAAACTTTTACAGGCTGCAGATGCTGCTGTTTATTATTGCTAATAATAATAAAAATAATACAGACTTTTACTAAGTCTTTAACCTCTAGAGTGGCAAGGAGAAAACGGAAAATGGGATTTTTGCTATTAAAAACAAAAAAAAAAAAAAAAATCCGACGGTAAAACACAAAATTACTGAACTGGAATTTGACAGAATCATTATTTTGCATAAATTTGCAATGCATTGCGAAGTCAGTCACTTATGCGCAAACGATATGACCTATATTGCTGCCACATGTCATTCTATAAATAACATGGGGTCATAACCTAATTCATGATATTACCCTGGTCAAACCCGTTACCGCTGGTCACCGCAGGGCAATTACCCACATGCAATATTAGCATATAAATAGCGTGGCATGTGCCGCCAAGGGTAGTAAAAATAAGTTGTGGTTTGTTTAGTAATTAAATTAGATTTTCTAAATGCCGGTTTGATTATCTTTCACGATTAGTAAATGAAAAGCAAGCAAATTTGGTGGGTGCACACTTTCGGCAAAACACAGAGCTGAAGAGCCAGCTTTCCGTGATGATTTTTATCGTGATGGTAAATTATTTTTCAGTTTTTGGTCAACACACCGAAGATTGGACTCGGAGGGAAACGCTTGTGGATCATAAGAAATCACTAAAACACAAAATAAATAAATAAAAGGAATGTAATTTCTTGATGATATCGTCCAGAGTGTTCGATCCCTGCATGCGGCACCTTTTGGAAAGTGCCTGAAAACCATACCACGGGTTACCCCAGGCCTTGTTGGAGAAAGTGGGTAGACGGAACTATCTGGGATAGTTGTGCTAGCAAGAAGTCTCAAGTCATCGTGATCGAGGGTTTAAGCGTATTGTTCACACTTGAT